TGCTGGTGCTGTTGTTGTTGTTGTTGGTGGTGGTGGTATTGTGCTTGTCATTGTTCTGGGTGGTGCTGGTGTTCAGCAGTAATTACTTCGATTAACATTCTTAGTGGCAGTACTTTTAAATTGGCTTCGTTCTTAATTCTGTTTAAGACCAGTGCTAAGATCACGTTAACTGTAGTAACTGCCCCCGTATACTGTCTTGCTCATAGTTGCATCCGGTGTGTTCCCGTTAGTGATGTGATTATGTTTACTGCACGTTTTTGGGACTTACGATTCTCTAACAAGGAACTGTGTGTTCCAAAATGGCAGTATCCCGGTGTCAGGGTTCATGACTACGCACAGTCCAGTGGGCATTTGCAGTCTTTGTGATGGCCAGGCACGTGCCTCGCTTGCGTGCCTGTGAGTTTTAAACCCAATCGTCCTGTCAGCAGGAAATGCTCTGGAGATGTTGAAACACAGTTACATGGAGCATACATGCTGTGCTAGCATCTGTAACATCATCAACTGAATGCGCCAGCCATACGTCGCACGAGCGGCAGGACTATGACTAGGCCTTGCTTGGATGAGGTCTAATGAGGCAACTGGCTGCAGTCCCAAAGCTTTGCGTGAGGCGAAAATCCGGGAGCTGCAGCATGCTCAGCAAGAAGTTGCTGACATTCGCACGGAAACTGGCCTTCGAATAGAGAATCTGCGACTTGGACGAGCAGCGAGTTTTCGGATTCCGATGACACTTCGCAGGCGAGTCATACTTCTCGCCAAAGGATGCGCGAGAGGTGCACTTAGCAGTAGCATCACTTGCTCAGCAGTAACTTGGAAGAGTCGGACCTGACTCCTCTCTCCTCTGTCGTTCGTTTCATGAATTGAAATTATATCACATGGACTCGCTCCTCGAGACGCGTTAACGTTTTCCTAAATCCCGTTCTGCACCCGGCACTCTTCTCCGAACCATCGAACCCCATTACAGACCCGAAGTTGCAAAACTTACTCTCCAAGCCCTGGAAAATACCCTCAAACACCCAACGGGAATCCCCTGCAGCCCCGAGCAACGTGAGCCGGACCTCTCTTCAAACCCGAAACCCTTGACCCGAGAGCTCTCAGGGAGAAGGAAGGCCAACGTTACGTCTTGGAGTGCACCGAGCTACGGTCAGCGCTGAAGGATGCCGAGGGCGCGCACGGGCAACTTGGCGACGGTATGGATCGCCGACGGTTTCATGAATGACATGAAAAAACTTGATAAAAGGCTTTAGGCCTTCAAAGGTTGGTTTGTTGGGTTTCAGGGCGTAGGGCTCAGGCACTAGTTAGTCACTAGTTGTCGGAGCTGTGTTCATATTCGATTCAAAAAGGTTTCCAAACTCCGCCAATTCTTCAAGCATTTTGTTTTCTGCGAATGTGTGCGTACGTACATAACATGAGTGCATGCGGGCGCGACCTTTACCCACATCCATGTTACCCTAAACCCTAAACCCATGTTACATTCTGCTACATGGGTGGTTGTCAAAATTATGGTCCCTTTTTGGCTCGTTATTGTAATACGGCACCTATTATTTAGGGTACCTCACAAGGGGCCATAATCTTGACAACTACCCACATCTTCCCTAGGACCCCGAAGACTTGAGGAAGCCTTCGAGTTTTTGTCGAAGTTTAGTTGTGGCAAATTAATCGCTTGGAAGTACTCTCGCTGAGTATGGAGTGTGAACATTGATCCTGCCTAAACCGCAAACCCTGCAGAAACCAAACCTATAAACCCTAATGTAGAAGCCTAGATAATTACCCAAGTATTTTATGGGCTCCTATTGTGCTTATAGTAGAATGTGCCCCAAAACCCTATTCTAATTATTAAGGCCCCTACATTAAACCCCATGAAAAGGAGCCGGAGACTCCCCGGCTCCTTGCAGGCGAGAGCGTCAGACCCTCCTTGCCGAGCATAATGAGCTCGAGAGAGCCACTGCAGCCCGGACCGAACAGCTTGGGGGCCATGTAATCTAGGTACAACTTGAATCAGATACTAAACCCGAAACCCTAAACCCTAAATAGTTCTGGTATTTACGCGTTTTGGCAGTACTGATAATGGGTTCCCTACCGGGTACTTACCGCACTTCCGGCCTCGCGCGCGCTCCCTCCGCCTCTCCCTCTCCCTCTCTTTCTCGCTCTTCCTTCTTACGCCTATTTATGGCGTGTGTGCATCATTGAAAATGCTGCATCTTATAGTCTGGTGTTTCCTCCGACTGGGGTGTAGGATGTATCACATGTCCTGTTCTACGGCCAGTATGTTTCCAGGTAATTCCTAGCTGAAGATAGTCGTAAATTGATGGCCATGCACATCTGGCAACCAGGCTCTCCACCAGAATGCAGCGTCGCACAGTAGCCGGCAGCGCGACGTGCTGTCCAAGCAACTTGGCTAGTTCAGCTTCACATCCCAGCCATCTCGTTTTGCCTACAAGTTCCTGGGCCCGGAAAATTTGAAACATACGCCGGGAATCTCAACCAGAAGCTTGCTTCAGGGTCTGGGATACAGCCTGCAGTCGGTGCACCTCGGGGGTTCTTGAGAGAAGTTCCTTGCTGGACGTTGCTCTCCAGCCGAGCCCCGTCTTCTTCGCAAGATGCTGAGAAGGCAGTTATTGCAGAGTAATTAGTTTGTAGAACTCAGGCTCTTCAGACTGTTGCCATCATGATCAAGAGCAAACTTCGGCTTCAAACAGTATCAACGAAGGCAAGAACGGTCGTACGAAGTGCCAGTCACTGATAGGCCCGATAGGCTCGCATGTTAAAGAAGGCTGCGATTTGCGTTCTATTTGGAAGGCAGTTGCTGGAGCTGCAAGAGGAGGTGCAGGAGCAGCAGTACCAGCTTACAGGCACACCGAGTTGAGTGTTGCCTTTTACGTGATGTTCTTCCGTAAAAAGGCTGAATTGCCCGTTTTGACGTCGTAGCTCACGGAAGCCGAGTTCATGTTCCCCATAGATGCACAGAGACTGCAAGCGAGCCGAACCCCTCCACGCAAGCCAGGGAAGCTTGCTATTTCAAAAGTCATCAATACTCCCAATTTCCAAACGCCTCCTGGCACAAAGCGAACATCCTGGATTGATCAGTTCGGGTGTACTTAGAAGAAACTCTGCTCTGGCTGTCTTGCATTTGTTGTAACTGCTCCTTGCTACTGCAGTTGATTTTCGACTGCTGCTTCCGCTCTTCCATTTTTAACCGTCAAAGTGCTCCCCGCAAAAACATCTATTCGGACGAAGATTTGACGCCCTGCACCCATACAGCTCGAAGCATCCCGAATCCCTGAGCCTCGAATTTTTCCCGCAGACACCAAAAGCTGCGAAGCATCCCCGTGCAAAGAAGAGGAGCACGCAAACAGCAATGATGACAATAGTGTAAATGGGGAGCTGACTCAAGCTTTTGGACTCGACGTCCTGGGCAAGCCTGACCACATGCCCTCTAGGCCTGGAACTACATGGACCCTTTTGTTTCCACTCCAATACAACATAACGACCCTAAGGCTTAAGGCTGTATAAGTGTTCTCCTGTGAGATCCAGACCCGAAACTGGGCACCCACCCCCCTAGGCCCTAGGCCTTGAACCTTCGTGCGCCCGAAGTTTCTTGTTCACTTTGCAGGCATAGCGAGGCAAGAGTCATCAGAGCGGCACAAGTCCACCCTGATGTTGCAGGACAGGAAGTCTAAGGCCACGTAAGACTTCAATCACCGGGCGTCACCATATAGAAAACGCCTCGCAAGATCCGTTTTGCCCTGAGCTCCTTGGAGGCCCGGAGCCAATAGACATAGACCAAGCTTTCCGAAGCTCCCCTAATTACTGAATTAGGGTTTAGGGTTTAGGGTTTAGGGTTTCCATGAGCCTCAACCCTACCAGCATGTTCCAGCGTGACCTTGCGGGATCCCGAAAAGGCTAGGGGTGGTTTAAAGGGCAAACGGAGGGTGGCCCAAGATCCTGATTCCGCAATGCTGTTTGTCCCAAAGACCCTCAGACTCAGCCTCCGAACCCTCGAACAAAACCCTTAAACCCTGATCCCCCAAACCCCTAAACTCTGATCCCCCAAACCTAAACCCTGATCCCCCAAACCCCTAAATCAGGGTGGCTTTGCCTGACCCTGTTGGGCCTGGCCACATTCCGTTAAACCTCTCTAAGAAACAAGAAGCCTTTAGAGGCAATAAGAGTGATTTAGAGGTTTGGGCTCCAACCCCGGACTCAGAATCTGAAGACGAAGCCTAAGTCCTAAAACCCCTGAGACCCCACCTGGATCATTTCATTCGGTCATCGCATGCTCCTTCACACTTGGCAGACTCAAATCAAGGGACGGACAGCCTCGGCAGCGGTTTCAGCAAACTGAATGATACACCTTAGTCATTAGACACTATAGCATTCGGACATCACATGCTCTCTTGACCGTTGCTGCCGCTTGGGCTGCGGATCTTCCTGCAGAACTCTGAATTAGTGATACACATCGGCATTCCGTCATCCCATCTTCTCATTCTCACTTGCGCTGCCGCTTGGGCTTCTGATCATCTTCTGTCGGCTTCGCCTTGCTGCCCCGCCCACGTCCCCGTGCCGGAGGACGAGGCTCCGGCAGGGAAGAGGTCGAATCGTGTCTCATGATAGTAGGCCCCGCGGAACTCGAGGCACGTCCAGGTGTAGGGGTACCAGGGCCGGGGTTTGCCGCTTCGGCCACTAACCTGGTAGATCTCGGAGGAGTCGCCATTGTCGAAGGCCCTCCTGGCGGTGTCTTGTAACCTGTCGCCTTGTCAAACTCAGCCACGATCTTTTCGATATCACTTCTTGTCGGCCTCAGGATTGCAATTTGAGAAGCACTGCCATGAATAGTTCGATCGAATCAAGAGCCTTGGGGCCTTTCGGGGGTCTGTATCTCAGGCTCTGCCTGCTCACACTTGCAGCGTGCAGCTCGTCCAAAATCCAACCCCACCAACACGAAGAGTGAGCAACTTAGTCGTGGACTGGATTTGGTCTGCACCGATCTTGTGCTTGCTCCGAACGTACTCCCAGCACCACTGGACGCACTCCTGCAAGGCCTCCACCTCTGTGCGCTGCCGGCGCACGCCATGCCACTTGGCCGCATGAGATGTCTGGGCGCCTCGGAGGGACACAGCTAGGCCTTTCCAACACATTTTTGGATTCACCTTCTTACCCATTGTCATTACAGATTGATTACCTTCGGTTCAAACCCAGGAACCCTGACTAAAGTCCTATAATAACTAGGTCTTCTATTTATGTTAATCCCCGGAATGACTCCCAATGTGGGGTCGGAGGATTGGGATCTGCAAGGGGATACCGTTGCCTGGACTTTAAGACTTTTGACTCAGGGTTGGACAAGATTTTAGCAATACAATTACAAGGAACCTGGTTTGGGGTACTGAGATGCTCGGATTAAACTTTTAAACCACTCAAACTCAAGAATCGGGCCGGGGCTTTCCATGTTGTCTGTGGGTGTTGAAATTAATTTAAATTTAAATGTCTAACAGAACATCGTAAGCTGAAAACCTCGGATTCGAACACAGACTTCTGAGACTGAGCTTCGAGATCTGTCTTCTCTGGCATACCACAAACTCGATTCAAGCAGCACGGAAACTCTGGGGCCCTTCACTTGCAGTTCGGATGTTGAAACTTCATGAGGCCCATTCCTAAGTATCAGTAATGGCATTGTCATTGTATCTGCTGTGCAGTGCTTATAAAAGCCCTTGGTAAGCAACACATGTTCAAGACCTGAGACCCTGAACCCCAGACGAAGAACCCTGAAAATACCCTGACTCCAGAACACTGAAGTTAAAACGTCAAGCCGGACAGGTTCAGAAAGCGTAGACTAGATAGACGCCGTTGCCAGAAACCCTAGAAGCACTAAGGGCTGCGGGCGTGAAGAAGCTGGACTGGACCAGGGCGGCAGCACAGCCAGGCCAAACAAGTTATTTTGATGATTCTGTTAGATTTGAGGTTGAGGGTTGAGCTTTAAATATTAAGGGGCTTGCTTCAACTCATCAACTAACTAACTAACTAAGTACGTTTTTTATGTAGCAATAAAAACACCTTTGTTACTATAGTATTCGTACTATCAACCGTCGGATGTGAATTATTTCCGAACTTACAATATTATTCACTACAGTACTAAGTAGGGCTTAAAATTTTAAACTCTTTAAGTAATTTACGGCTTAGTTCAGCAAATTTAGTTTAGTATGTTGTCTACTTTGGGCTGTCATTCATCCAGGGACTACGGTACGGTAGGGCCTCAGGCTGGGATTCCAGGATAGCCAGGGAACCGAGGAGCATATCACTGAATCTCCTACTGCCAGGGGTGAGTGCGCGAAGTCACGCCCTTATTAACAATTTATTGTACAGTATTTTTTGAGTTCACCAACACTGTAACACCCTGCACCCTGGGCGGGGACCCTGGCTGGGGACATCGCATGCATTTGCCAAGGCACCGCCCGTAGACGTGTCAATCACATAGCACTGATACCTGCACTCCGCCGGGTTCCTGTTGAAGCGGCAGACAAATCCAGGCCCATAGGGCAGAAGCTGCGCAAGGATTCGTGGTGTTTCATGCACAGGGCTGGAGTGGAAGGTCTTGGCATCCGTTCGCTCGGAGCGAACCTGCTTCAGCTTCTCTTCGTCCAACGCAACAGCTGCCAGCTCCTGGTAGTGTGGCTGATCCTCAGCCGGTAGGCTCTTGAAGGCTCGCAGGATCTCTGCCGCATGCGCAGAACCCTTTCCGTTTCTGTCATAGGCCTGGCCCATGATGCACTTCAGCATGCGATCCCTCTCTGCTGAGTCCAGAGACTCCCCAAAGAAGAACGACAACAGCGCCGACCCGTAATCCCTTTTCACCAAGTTGCCTCGCTTTCCGGATCCTTCTCCCTTACCAGCAAGAGTGAAGTTAAATTCGGCGTGTAACGCACGGAGCTGTTTCACGGTCAAGAACATGCCGGCGTGCAGAGCCCCTGGGATCGGGTCCTTAGCTGGGCCTGATTTCTCCAAGACGACGGAGAAGCCCCTCATAGCCGGCGGCACCTGTAGCGGATGACGCAATTTCACCGACAGGCGGCGCCAGTTCGACTGCACGAGTCGGTCGTTCACCATCCAAGTGACCGCTTCGTCGTCGCTGCTGGTGTCGAGGGTGTAGTACGTCTCAGTAGTCAACCAACACCCAAGCCCAGGAAGTTATAGGGTACCAACTTAGGAAATACCCGGAGCAGGGATAAGGATAATCGATCAGAATTCTGTCAAAGGAGACGAAATCTGAAGAATTTGGGAACCATAGACGAGCCAACAATAACACAGATTAGCAAGATATCACTGGGATGCAATAAAAATTAATAATACTTAAATATAAGAAGAATAAGAATGGTAATAACAATACTAATAATAAGAATAGTAAGAATATTAATAGTAATAATAAGAATAAGAATAAGTCGGCCCGCCGACACAAACAAGGTGCCCAGGAATGGTAGTCATGAAAACACGACACTAGAGAAGTTTGTACATTCTTTGGCATCGGCATTATAATTATATTTATATGATATTAATTGGTATATTTAGTCTCGTTAATTTGATTAAGTTCAATTAAAGTGAAGGCTCAGACGACGATGAGGTCTAAATCAAATTAAGGCTGCAGCTCAATGCCGTAATGCTAATGCCGTTCGTGCCGTTGACCAAACTCTTTAAATTCTGTAGTTAAAGTCGTCGAACCAGTAATTCAGTAACCAGTAGCACACGACAGGATCGACTCATAGCCCCAGGTGAGGCCTGCCATAGCTAATTTTAATAGCAGGCATGCCGTAAAATCTTAGTCGTTGTGGACAAATGACATAATGATTAACTAATCAGATAAGACTCCTGCTAACTGTTAACCGGTGTAGGTCTCAGGTGTTCACAGCTTTGCAACTGTTGTACTTAGTGGTTGCGTCTGCGTATCGGCGTACACAGTAACAAAAGTAAATCGGCCGAAGTTCGGCCTGGGATTCATCGTTGAGGGTGTGCTCGCGCATCCTCACCCCCAGCGCCGCGTACTTGCGGAAGCCAAGCGACAAGTGAACGCTGTCATCACGGCGGTCGACGAAGAGGCCACCTTTCGTGAGGAAGGTGCCTCCGGGCACGCCAGGTGCTTGTAATGAATCCGGATTCCCGAGTCTTATTGTATAGAATTAGCAGAAACAGCCGCCAGAATCATTCGATTCGCAGCATCGTCGAACATCAGTACTGTCGGTAGCCGACCGGTCGTCTTATAACGTCTTATGTCGTCGTCGTAGCAGTTTAATAGTATCGTAGTTGTAGTAGTCGGCGTCGTCGTAACAGCAGTAGTAGTAGCAGTAGTAGTAGAAGTAGTAGTGGTAGCAGCAGCAGCAGGAGGAGTAGTAGTAGTAGTAGCAGTAGCAGCGGTAAACAGCAGTAGCAACTCAGTAGTAGTCAGAAACTCAACCATCACCGTAGTCGTCGTACCATAAACTGACAGTATACCTGGAAATAGTAAACACCCCAGAGACACGGTGTGTACAACTTCTCAGTACAGCTAGCCGGGTCAAGATGACAGTGAATTGAATCTTCAGCGAATCCACTGGGTGTGATGACACGATGTCCCGAGAAAATTCGACACAATGTATGGATGAAATGTCGAGGGTGACGTGATGGAACACAGGCTGAAGTAGGGCCTGGAGGCAGAGGGTTATTCTGCAAGTAATCTTGAATCTTGGGGAGCACAACTCGACCACTTGATGACTTAGTATGACTTAAGGATACTACTAACATGACAGCGCTGACTCAGGCCAACAGAAACAAATAGAGCATGTTCGGCCTGTCCACGCCAAGCCCACAGACTGGAAGCCGCCGGCTGCCGACATCGAGATGCACGCAGTTGCCGCCGAGGCAGCTTGGTTCGACGCTGTGCCTGCTTTCTTGGCTGTCGGCAGGTTGGTGTGGACAAGGGCCTTCTTTGTGTCCGGGTCGAGTTTTCTTGTGTTGACGCTGTGGAAAGCTTTCCCATGTATACCCCTGAGTTCAGGGTCACGCTGGCACATTCGACGGTTGAACTCGAAGTGGTCGTCCAGGGTTGTCCGCAGGTGCGGCCATTCTGTTCCACGGTCCAATGTGGAGCAGTAAAAATACCTTGTCCACCTGACCAGATTATTCAGATTATCATCCGGCTGTCCGCTGACCTGATTCACATAACTATATTGTGAGGCTGAACTCTGAAGTTACTAATGAATTGCTGAGGGTCAGACTCTTCAGACTCATCGTGCAAGGCCCAGATCAGAAGAATTTAGCTGGTACACCTGAGGAGCCTCTGAGATTAAATTACAAAATCGCTGATAGGTTTAGGACGTATGGGCGGTAATGCAAAAGCCTCACGGCCTCGTGACGTTTAGGCTTAGGGTTCGTCTGTCTGTCTGACGTCTGAGTCTGAGTCCCATCATCTACAGTATAGGTGGCCCTCACTCACGATCTGTCCTATTCCGCACCTAGACCTTGAGGCAGATCTCGTGTTAAGGGATTGTTGGAGTTCTGGAGTTGCCCTGTTGGGTTTGAGGTTCCAAGCTTTCAAGGCCCTCGGTGGCGTTGAATCCACACCCTGCACCCTCAGCCTAAACCCAAAACCCTAAACCCTTCCTACCAGACTTCGATCCCAGATGTGTTTAACCGAGAGACCCGAAAATGCCCTAGCTCCATAACTGAGTACAGCTGTCGAGCATGTAGGGGTAAATTGGGGGTTTAGGGGCTCAGGGTTTAAGGGTTTATTAGTAGGGATTCAGGCTTTTATATAATTATAATAAGGGTTCAGTAATTTAGGGGTTAATTAATTAATATTCTAGTTAGTTAGTATAGTAGTGTAGGTTGTAGGTAACCTTCAACCGTTTCTAGGGTACGACAATCCCGATCAAGTTTTGGGTTATACTTTAGTTTCCTAGGATGCTGGACAGGTAGGATTATGATTGCAGCCTTAATAATCAAGAACGTCAAGGAACCCTCAAAGGCTAAAGGAGCCCAAAACCGCCTAGCCTAGACTAGACCCTAGACCCGAGACCCTAAACCCCTAGACCGAAACCCTAAACACTAAACCCTCAACCCAACCTTAACGGAGCCCTCAAGAGATCAAGACTCTTCAAACTCAAGCCCCTATGTTGGGTCTGAAGTTGGCTGGCAGTTGAAAAATAAATAGTAACAAATACACGAACAATTATCCCGCGCAACAGCTTGATTCAGACATAAGGTCTGCTAAGGCCTTGCTAAGAGTCTACAGGCTGAAGCTTCTCACTTTGCCGGATTGCGGCAACATCAGATATTCCTTCAGCACACCTTCAATTTAGACAATGTTGCAAGAATTAGGACCGAAGCAGATTCACGGAATCCAAGCTATCATGACTGAAAGTCGTACTAAGTAATGAAGCAATGAACGATCCATACTCAAACTCCGGTCTAATCGAATTGAATCGAAAGCATTGCTGCTGGGTCTGGGAATATTAGAGCCAGTTCTTCGATGTGAGGATATTGTGCGAGTTTGGCTGAGCTTCCTGTGAGGCTTGCTATTAGTTATATAGATAGAAACGAGGTGAGTCGACCAGGTGATGGCGTCGATTCGGGACAGAACACCCCACCAGAGCCCTACAGCTGAGGAGGTGTTGTTTCACTTACAGACCTTTAATAATCACTATTGAAGTATATTGTCATTCCATTCGTTAGCATTGAATCATTAATGTAGATTGGAAAACCCCACTTACTCGAAGCCAAAGTATAGTGATGTTACAAGCAGAATCAACACAATGATCAGTTGTCTACTGTTGTTAATTAGAGACAGACAGAGACCCTAGCTGAATCTAGTTTAGACGTGAGGAGTGGCTGACTGACTGTCTGACAGTGACAGTGACAGTGACAGTGCAGTGAATGTGACTGTGAGTGACCCAAACAAAACCGACATGTCTCAACGACGCTAATTGCCTACGGCCCTCTGGCGGGTTTAAGGTTTCAGCTCGCTTAACATAATTAATATAGGCCCCTGCCTGGCTGCCAGGAAGTGCAGTGCAGGTCACTGATAAGAATAAGACTTAAGAGCCAGAGACAGACAGACAGACAGACAGACAGACAGACAGACAGACAGACAGACAGACAGACAGACTGACAGGCTGACAGGCTGACAGACAGACAGACAGACAGACAGACAGACAGACAGACAGACAGACAGACAGTCTGCAGAGTGACAGAGTCTCAGACTCTGACTGTCAGACATAAATGGGAAATAGATACACACCGAGCCCACAAAGGAGTCTGTAACCTTCGATTTCCAACGCCAAACCCTTCACAGTGGAACATGCTTCAACAAAAAATGCAAAGGGCACAACATTTACTATAGCTGCACAGCCACTTGTTCATGGAACGTGGGAGATTCGTTGCTCGTGCAACCGAGATGAGATGAGCGAAGAGATCCTCCAGCTCAAACTTCGTCTGAGCTGGGCCACCACACACTTGCCTCGCAGCGAGCTGCACCTGCTCGTCCGAGGCCCGCCAGCCTGCGGCTTCGCACTCCATCTTGACCTCTCTTGCCAATTGGAGCCTGTGCCACCCCATGTCGTTCAAGACCTGTGCCAGCGCCGATTTCTGACCGGGTTGCAACCCAGTGCCGACCACCGCTCTCTCAGCCTGTGCCACGGCACCCCACACTACTCGAAGCTTGTCGAGCTCACGCTGGGCAGTAGCGTCGTCTGTGCACAGCACAGCAGCCAGCGCTTGTGGCTGAAGCGAGACAAATTGCATCTGGGACCAGGAACGGGCACTGGCCAACTCGATCAAAAGACGCCAGAAAGAGTTGACCGCCTCTTGCTGTTCCACCAACCAGCCCCCTGCGAGGTCCTCATCGACGATGGAGCTCGTCAGGCACACCGTTATCCCGAAGCGCTGGAGCGCCTTCTCGTCATGCACCAACCTCAAGGTCTCATGAACGGTGGCCATCCAACTGCCCCGAGCCCGACGTGCTTGAAAGTCCAGGGTGAGTGCCTGTGCAAACGAGGTGGCTGATTGCTCCTTTTGGGTGGGTGGTTGGGTGGGTGGGTGTGGTGTGCTTGAAAGTGGAGCCTTTGTATCAACAGTGCTCCTGACTCACTGACTGACGTCTGACTGATGACCACAGACGAGGGTTTGGGTCGGGCTTCCACTGTCGAGGCAGACCATCATACGAGTTGATCTGGATTGCAGTTGACATGATTATTGCACAGGTCACAATCGTTGGACCTCAACCAAGTCCAACGCCTGACAAACTTACACTAACAATAGTATATAACATATGCCCAAGTCGAGTGACAGCGAGATTCCAGCTGAACAGACTGTGTCGCGATAGACAGACAGACAGACAGACAG